GCTTTTCATAGCCGGTCGGAAGCTCGGCCATTTTGTCCAGAAGTATTATTTTTATTCAACGTCTGCACGAAACAACACCTCTTCTGCGCTATCGTTAAGATGCCTTCTAGCACTGAAGTTGTTTTCAGGGAAGCCTTCGTCCTGAAATCTAGCGTTTTAAAGTTCGAATACGGTATTTAGTCAGTAACTTTAACATTTGTCTCTGCTAGAAGTTGCCTTTTACCGGTAGTGTGTTGCGGTTGACGGCATATATTGTTCTTTACCACATTGCAATTCATCAAATAGGTCGATGTTGCTTCTTGTTTGATGGTCCATGTTGTTGTTCCATAGGCTTTCCTGAGCATATGCCATTTGGCGAGTTCAGGCGTAGGTTTGATATCCTCGCTGCTAGTCAGTTCAGGAACACCGGCCCTGTCTTGGACGAGAAGAAAGTAAGTTGAAATTTTTTGTGTTTGTTTGTTTTATGAGATCAAGTGCATTGTCCATTTAAAATTAAGTTCCTCGAGTGTACAAGTGTAAAATCTTGGTTTGTTAGCCTGTTTACAATAAAATTTAACAAAACATTTCACGGTTTACTACGTTAAGAAATGTATTCAAGTATTGCTACCTAGTTTCCATAATTGTCAAGTGTTCTTTTTTCAGACGATATATTGCATTGTTGTTACAAATATTTATTTGTCCATAACCGCACTAGCGTGGACTATCAACAGATCCTTGAAATTGAAATCAAATAATCGGCTTTAGTTTTACAGCCAGATCATCTCTACTTCCTGACATCCAAGCTCTTGCTCCTTGCATTGCTGAAATGTTTTCTTTGAGAAAGAATGGGGGTAGGGGGTGTTGAATTCACTGGAAGGTCGACAATGCTTGTGTGAAGTGTACTCCAGTTTATAATAAGCCCGGGGGTACTCCTCGAAAAATTGGGTGGGGGTGTGCGGCCCGCTTCCCAAAACCCTTGTCCTATCTAAGATCAAAATATGCGATTTTCTACCCTATTTCTGGCTTGACCAAAAATTCAATATTCTATTTATGACCTGACCCTTACATCAATACCTTGTTTCAGACCTGCGTTATAATTAGTACCCTAGTTCAGAACGATGTTAAGGGCATTGTGAAGGCCTTTTGTTGATGGTCTTATTGATGATGATGAAAAAGTAGCTTCTTTTAAGAAATTATATCCAATTCAAGACTAGAGTGCAAAAAACTCGCCGTATTTGAGGCCGAAATGGCCAAAATTGATACCCTCTTTATGACCAAAACGGCTAAAATACCATATACGCTTTGGAGCCGCACATAGCTATATAATCCATATAAGGAAGTACCTCCCCTCCGGGAAATAAGACGACCTACATGGTGTGATGTTCAATCCTTGCTTTATATTGTATTGTTTACAAAATGCCTTCAGTGAGCAGCAATGTTGGCTCGGTTGTTGGTGACCAATTGTTTAAAATGTCTTTTTGTTCTCAGGCGGTGGAGACACTGTTGGACCACCTTGAACTCGATAAAAGAAGTTATCGTCTTGGTCTGAGCCAGGTAAGACAAAATCTAAAGATGCGTTTGTTTAGGAGGGGGGAGTTTGCTTTTAACAACAAAGTGTATCTTGAGAAATGTGTTGGTAATGGCTCAGTTATGAGCCAAGCATCTCGGAAAAAGAATTGTGTGTGCGCTCTCTCAACAGGGGCTGAACCTATGAGAGCTTTACCACTGAGCTACAGGTGACAAGTGTGAGCTAGGCCACACACATACCTATGTTCAGATATGTTAAACATTCAAGGTTTAAATAATTACCATCATTCCTTATCTTTTTTTTTTTGTTTCATCGCTCTTACCACCCCTTCCGTGCACCCCTGTTTCTCCCTCTCCCTCCCCTCCCTTTTAACCTGAAGTTCTTAAATGGCTTTTGAAGGAACCCATCGAAGTGCACAGAATTTAGGAAAAGTGTTAGAGACGAACCGTTAACCAACTGGGGCGGGTAGAACTGAAAACAAAAACTTCTGCGAGCATTGTACCATCCTAAAAAAGTACGGATGCGAGACCCCCTGAAAAGCCCCGCAGAGCATAAAAAACAAAGCTGACGTAATTGTCACCGTGTTAAAAAGTTATTGTTCAAGGGTACGGTTGTTTAAAATCGTGGAAAGCCGCGCCCGGCAGATAAAATTTCGAAGCCGTTACAAATTGATATTATTTTGAACTGTTCGTATTATGCGTATCAGCATGAAATCACCTGTTTTCCAGCCTGTAACATTGCAATAACAGGACGGGCTCCAGCAGAGTTTTATTCTTATGGCTTGGCTTAATCCTTTTCTTTGTACGACGCTTTTGTTGTTTACAATGCGTTAAGTCAAGATTAGATTGTTATTTTTCTGTGAGCAAAGAGTTTCTGCCGACAGTGAGATTATAAACGCATTTGACGATCGACCTGTTTTGAAAGACAGTTCGTGCCGTTTGGGCTCGTGCCTGTTTAATCGCTTTTTTACTGAAAATTTGGACATTGAAGGTAACAAAGGTTTGTGGTCATTTGTAATTATTTACGTACTGTTGAATTTGTTGACATAAGTTGCTTGATTGGAGTTTCAAGCCTACCATTATTTACTTAATTTTCATTCGTTCTGGCCTCGTTTTGTCGATCGTTTCCAAACCTTTCGCTCGGAATGGACATTTTTAGTCTTTTATTGCCTTCTCGTCGTTTTTGTCTATTTCTGCGAGCCGTCATTTCATGTGTTTGCGATGATTTCGCGGCCATGTTCAATCGGTTTGTTTACAAAGTTAATCAAACTTGTGTCGGTCCACAAGCGATGTGTGAAATGAATTGGCTGCTTAAAATCTCATTCTTGCAGAAGTTGGCTTTATTTGAGTCAGCTAAGAATTAAACCGGCCATCTTCTTAGACATAAACACTTGTTTGACAGTGTCCTTGACTGTTCACGCAACAAAAGAGAACTTATTTATTGATCAATCGATTAATTCAAGTCAACTTAATCGTTAAATTACAATTTATTTGATGTCTTGTGGTGTAGTGGATAAATGTCGAGTGAACTGCGTACGAATTTCTGTCGTCGACTTCTGATCAAGATGAAAGACCATTGTCTTTGGTTTATCGCAAATCCTTCGTCTCGACAATGATTATATTAAAGCACATAGCCGCGAGGATGCTAAGCTCTCCGTGTTATGAAGAGTCTTTTGGGCTTTATCTCTCCAATGTGTTCGATGAAGCGAGCTACGCCGTTACTGAACTTTGTGTGCACCAAAGGCCTCTTATATACGCCTCTTGTGAATGCCTTCTCTGTACTAAATATTCTTTGTCACGGTGTAACTTCAAGTCTAGCCCGTTTTGCTCTGTCGAAGATGCAGACAATCAGGATTAGTTGCTAGAGTGCTTGATTGTCAATGCGGGCTTTAGTATGAGAAGGTCAATTTAAAAACAAACAAACAAACCAATGGTGTGTTGTCAGAAGAGTCGGCAAGGATCGAGACTCTGGTTTTCAAACGAAAAGACTTTTTTCAGATTCTTGAAGTAATAAAGGGATTATCTGTTCACGTATTCAGCAGAGCTCAAATTCTGATTTCTCTTTGGCCTTCACCTGTTCGCCTCTCTTTCTATAGAAGGCAGGCTTAGAGAACGTAGGCCCGTCCCTCGAAACTTTGTTGTCAATTTAGCACTGAATTTAGCAGAATGAATCCAAGTCCGTCTCAGTCTTTCCCATTTTTTAGCCATTCATGTAGATTTTGGATTGCTGTTACCTCTTTGTCGACGTCCTATCTTAGTAAACAATTTTTATGAGATAACACAACCTAACCAATCAGAGTGAACGGGTGGGTTTTGCAACCAATCAGTAACAAGATGACTTGACGCCATGCGTTCGTTTTCCCGCGCTTAGCAAGATTCACCTGTTTTCGTTTTGTGTTTTGATTCCTCCACCATGTATTTCTACGTTTGTTATAATTTTGGTGTAGGTTTTACAAACGTTCGAAGGTAGACATCTTTTGCTTTCATCTGGTTGGTTTTTGCTGAAAAAAGGTGTCTTCCTTATGTCCTAACGGTCGCTTCAAGTAATCTTATCATTGTTGCTGTAATACTTATGTTTTTGAGGTTAGCGGAGTCGTGTTGAAAACACATGATAATGTCCCCAGAATTTTCTCTCTTTAAAGCAATGTATTTTTTATTCCTCGAGCTAAGGTAACTGTGGTTTGTATTTTTTTTATCAGATCTTCTTCCGTGCTGGAACTCTCGCTCAGTTGGAGGACGCCAGAGACGAGAAGACAACTGGCACTATAGTAGAACTACAGGCTTTCTGTCGGGGATTCTTAGCGAGAAGAAACTATAAAAAACTACAGGTAAGCTTCCATTTGTACTGAATCCCACGTTCAGCATAGATTGGACACATTGGACACGATGTAGCTCAATATTTGGTTCCCAAAACTCGTGCACGTGCGCAAACTTAGCCAGTTGGAAGGAGACTGTTTTTCTCAACTCTTTCCTTGCTTTCCATTGGTTATAGGTTTTCCCGCGCTTTCGTCAGTTTTAGGTATTTACCCGCGCTTGGCATATGTTACAGGTTTTCCGGCGCTTGCAACTGGCTAGGTATTTTCCCGCCCTTAGAGACGGTTACATGTTTCCCGCTCTTGCCGATGGTTGGACGTTTTCCCGCGCTTTTTGGTGGTGGTTTCCTTCTTTGCGTGCTCCCAGTGGTTACATCGTTTAAAGTAATAACAACACTTCACACTGTTTTTGTTTGCCCTTAGGTTCAGTGTACAGCTATCCGTTGCATTCAAAAGAACATCAGGTTTTTCCTGGCAGTTAACAACTGGCCCTGGTGGAGATTATATACCAAGGTATCAGATAGGTGAAGTTATTTCAAAAGTCTCCCTTGCAATAATCTGATTTTCTTTGCAGGTCATTTATTCTTTCCAATTCTTTTAGTTGAAAGTAGTAATTCACTGACTTTGCTTTAGTTACGAGGTCACTTGGTTGCTGGTTTATTTGCGCAAAAACAAGTTATTTCTCTAAACACCCGTTTGTCCCCATAACCTGTTTTTTTTTTGTATGATCTGGGGCAGGTTCTTCCGTTGTTAGATGTTCATCGAACCGAGGAAGAACTCAAGAGCAAGTCGGTAAGGATGATGTTAACATGAAAACGCTTCAAATGTTTTCCGTCCACGCTACGCCGGAGGAATTTTAAAGCGCAACCTTAACCGGTCATTTTGGATTTGTGTTTGAGGAAAACTCGGTCAGGGAAATTCCATGATTATCGTGACGCTATCGGTTTCGAAAAGCTGGTTTTCAGAATGTCTTCCATTCACACGAAAACGCAAAGCGGGCGTTTTCAAATTCATTCGGCTTGAAGAGCGTTTTCAAGAAGCTCCGTTTTCGTGACAGATTTTTATGGACAGTAGGCCTAACTGTAGAAATAAAGCTGCGCTTTCAAATTTCTCCGGCGTAGTGTGGACGAGGCCAAAGATACAAGATGTAAAATGGCCATGGCACACCAATTGCATGCATTTCCCGCCCTCTGAGTCACCAATTCTATGCCTTTCCCGCGCTTGGCATGGATTGCGTGCGCGTGTGTTTTTTTGGTCGAGTTTTGATTGGTTCATTGCGTCATTTATGTTGTTATGATTGGCTAACTGTGTAACTCTGGTTTTGTTTTTACCATAGTCACTTGAAGACCATTCTGCTGTCGCTCGCTCGCTAATATGACTTTCGTTGAAGGCAACATGATGCCATTTAATTGATTTTTTTTCTTTTCTAGGGAGAGGTCGACACTTTGAAATTAAAATTAGCAAGACTAGAACGAGAAAAGAAAGAATTAGAGGAAGCGAACGAGAAACTTCAACAAAAGGTACATATGACGAGTTATACATCCATACAGTACAGTGTAGAACCCCGAAAGAACCTACAACCCGGTATAAATTTAAGCAAATTGACCATCGTATCTGAGAATTACCTTATATATGTAAAGTAAAGTAAAGTAAAATATTATTTAAACAGGGTAGCCCGTTCAGCTCAAAGGCTGGTATCCATAGGGGCCCTGTAGAGCTTGACGTTACTTCAAACGGCAAACGACAAAAATGAAACTCTTGCCGTCTGTCTTCAGCTGTCTGTACAGTAGAGTGAAAATATTTGTATTTGCGGTGAATAGTAGAAGACATTTTTCTATTTTTGTGTGATTTATTTAAGGATTACAGGAAAAGAATAAAAAATCAGAGGTAATCTTTGCCGTCTGCCGTAGACGTTATACTTAAACTCTCTTGTAACATCAGGTTAAAAATACAAAATTTATTTACACAGATGAAAACTTTACAACTATACGTTGAAAACTATAACTACTTGTATGAGTCGAAACGAAATAACGAGTTAGGAATGTAGAGTTTTTAATATTTGTAAAAGGAATATTTGACTACATTGTCTTAAGGGATATTGAATATTTCAATTTATCAAGCTCAATATTTTATTGTCTGAGCCGCGGTTTTCTCGTCACGAGAATGTTTCAGTGATAATTGCCTTCTTGCCGCTGTGTCAGTTCCCAGTACAATCATGAACAGTGTTTTACAGTCAACTTAAGAAGTTTGTCTTTCAGTGCTTGTTTATTTGTTCCTGTGTGGTCTGCTTGAAACCTTGTACTATTGATCCCAGACGTCTGTTGAAATGGCTTTTATTTCAGGCCGTTGCACGCACCACTGGTTTCATTCACGGATACCAAAAATTGATCACGTTATCACGAATTTTATGATCGTGTGATGAGTGAATCTCCTGCCGTCGGGGAAGGTGCTTCACAGTTTGTTTGCAAGTTTGTTACGTTTCGCACTTTGTAGCAACTGAAGATACAAATCAAGATATGTTACAGAGAAGAGTGCGAACGATGGAAAATCCATTGCAGGGGTAAGATTTGCCTCGAACTTGATACTTTTGAGGAATTTGCTACAGCGGTGCTGCAAACTGTAGCCAAGAGATGTTTGTCATCACGTGATCACTTTTTTCAATCCGCGGCTGCAACCAACGGTACGTGCAACGGCCTGAAAAAAAGCCATTTCAACAGACGTCTGGGATCAATAGTGACAACATTACTGTGATCGCATGCTCACAACAAATCCTGATTTAATTTTAAGTGACCTCTTTATAGCCTTTATAGAAATATTAATTCTCCTTGCTCACTGACACTCAATGCTTGTCATCCAGTTATGAGAATTTCGTGGTAGATCAAGACAGTAGCCCTGGTGTATGAGTTTCCTTATTCTCACCACCTGCCTGGTTGACATTGCAATTGTAGCTGAAAGAGAAATTAGATTTTCATTTGTTCTTGATTCGGATATTTTTCCAACAAACTTTCTCCTAGAAAGGATAATAAATGGTTTAACATTTCAGCTTTTTGAAACTTATCACATGACATGTTTCTCAGATGTTTACTTCTGTTAATGCATTTTCGTTAAAGAAAAAACAAATTGAAGGCAGGCTAGTTCCCATCCTTGTTATCTTCATGTTTTAAAAAGTAACAAAATCCTTCAATTTTTGTGTAAGAAAATTTGACAGCAATGTTATTATTTCCTTTCAGTAACGACGTTTTAAATCGTCTAAATAAAATCACTGTTTTTTCCATCTTCAAATGAATTGCTATTGAAACGAATTTGAATATTTTTCATCTACAAACTGTTGTTCTGTCAAACATTTGTCTTCGAGGATAATGGATTAACTGAAACCTACCTCTCTAGACCTACACAGCTTGATTGAAGAGTGCATATCAATTTTCTTCCAAAAAAATTAAAAAAATAGGACGTTACCTTACGTGATATGCAGGGAATGTTTCATCAGTGTCATTTGTCTTAATGAAGCGATGTCAAGAATGAAGCAACTGAAATTATTCAGTTTCTTCTTTTGCAATCAGTCTCAAACTTCTCAAATCTTTACCACGCATCCTCATCTTTCCACTTTATTCTTTCCTCCTAAATGTTTTTCTACCGAATTGAACTATTTCTTTAAGGTTTTCTTCTATTTGAAGACGGTCCTGTTTCATCCTAAAACATTTCTTGTCTACATCGTGACAAAACTCCTTTCAAAGAGGGGCTTGTAAAATTGGTCATATCTTTAAATTAATCGATTTTTAATCAGGTAATTAATTCCCAAATTAGTCAAGGTCTCACTTCTCTACACAATATTGTTACACTGTCAAACAGATCCTGGATGACTCGTGAAAAAAAAAAAATCATTAACCAAAGGATATCGAGTTGATATACTACTAATTTCTCTAAACTAACTTCTAAAGAAATGAAAGACAATTGGTAAGGAGAATTGCTATCTCCAGCTTGCAACTGAAAACTATCATCTGGATCTTTACATGTGACACATTTGGTTGTATTTGACTTTTGGTCTCGGTCAGTGTTGTGTTTCATTTCCACAGTACTTAGGAATAACATTTACATATAGTGCATTCGTTGTTGGCATTCTTGAAATACCCCATGCGGGGAGGAAAATTAGTCTGCGTCGAATAAATCGTCTTCGTTTTAGTTCAATTAGCACAAGTTGTTTTCACTCCGGGATTCGAGGAGATGTTATTGAAGGTGTAGAATTATCGACGAGATTATGAGGGTCTGTAAGCGTAGTTTTGTACTGAGCCTAGCTGTTTGTACACTGCATTTGATAACGTTTGGAATTTTCCACAGGTAACCGAACTATCAGCGGCTCTTGCCGACGAAAGAGAAACCGCCAGCCATGCCAGTGAAATGCTTGAAGGCGAATCAATGGAGAGAATGAGATTGGAACGGCAAATGCAGGAACTACAGGTTAATAGTTTGCAATTGAAACGATAGACTGAACTCGCTGACTGCAACTCCGTAACAGTGAGCAAGCCCTGTCGACCAAATGTTTCTCTCATTGTGATTGTTAAGGCTAATGTTTTTGACAATAATGATATACTTAAATGCAATATAAACACTTGAATGAACTTCCTTTGCGGTGTTCCGCAGAACTGTTGTTTTATCCGAGGCATCCAGCGTTGGGTTTTCCTGGCACACTCCTGCCTTCTCTATCGCCAACAAATTGGTTGAATCACGAACTTATGTTAACGTTAGACTCCTTGTCTTATCATGTTTAACAGGCATTGATAAGGAAATGATCTGGATAATGGACTCTGTCCCCCTGTCCCTTTTCGGGCTCAAAATGCTAAAAGATAACTGCAATTATCTAAGATCTGATCGTTAATCCCGTTAAACCACGATTTTATTGAATGCTATTGATGAAAGAAGCGATTTTTCTGATAAAGTGATGTGATAGATAACAGTATTGGGGATTTGGGAGCTGGCCCACTGGAGATTTGACACCACATTTTCGTGGTTCGTGGTTTCAGAATCCTCACAACTGATATTTGTCAATTAATCTGGTTTCTGGTGTGCAATGTGGGAATTCAATAACTTAATTACTCTCACGTTCAGTTTTTGACCTCAGCTTATTTGGCACCAGGGTTGTTTGCTATGTGTTATGATTTCCCCAGTGATGTATGTGTCAGGGGAATTCCTTCTGTTAACGTAGGAATGCTTGATTTGCGGTGCAAAAAAAACTTCCCTGAAAAAACGAAAGACAATTTTGAGACTTTTGAATAGCGTGACTTGTGTTAGACGATCGCGTGACATGATCGCGTGACGGGTGAAATCTCGATAGCCCCGTCCGGGTGTCTGGAGCCGGTTATAAGGCGATTACGGTACATAAAGTTCATTTCCGGTTCCCATAAATGACAAGTACTTTCGCGGAAACTGTTTTTCTTTTCATCAGGAAAGAAATTCCAGTTTATTAAGCTTTCATTGTTTCGTCGTTCTGACGTGAAATTTCAGCGGGAGTTATCTTGAGTCCATCCTGTTTGAACGACATGATTTATTAGCTTGTCCAAAGAAAACAAAATCGGATAACTTTGTGATCTGACCCTGTTAAGATTTCCGGTGTTTTTTATGAGTACTTTACGTAAATCCTTTCAGACAAAATCCTGACCGTGAGAACTCGGGTTTGAGATTGAAAGAAACACGCAAGCCTCCTAAAGGTCGGGCTGAAAAAAAAATAGTCTCCGGGAAAATTTGGCGTTTCTGTAGTGTAACAAGACAGGTGTATACTTGCACGGTTTGTCGCGACATCGCTCAGAAACACGCGACGTTTGCCTGGTCACGCGAGGTTATTGGCCAAAAATCTGTAAGAAGTCGAAGGAACTGAATCTGTGTTGGGTAATTTACGGATCGCATTTGGAAGTAGGAAGCAGCTTACTCCGACAAGATGATTACTGTATGGAGTGTTGGAAAGGTGAATCGCTTTTCTTCGTGCTGCGGAGATTAGTGGAATTGCTCAATTCTATTTTCATATTCATAACCTTGAGCTGTTTCGTTTGTGTTTTCGATGGCAAATGCAAAAAGCCTTTTACTACATGTTAATTCAATGCCTGATTTTAGTAGGCCTGGTGTTGACGTTCGAGGGAACTGAAGATTGCCTTAATTGTGGCTGAGAAAGAAGATGCTTCGCAATCGAATGAATCGAATGCGTCTTCTAAGGAGGTCCTCCAGAACGGGTCTGGGGCCCGTTTCTCGAAAGCCCCGGAAACTTTTCGGGTCCGTAAAGCCATTTTTACTAGTAGTTCATCTCTATCTAAAAACGGAGACGTGTATACGCCTGAAACTTCTTGTATGAAGGGAACTTCTGCTCATATTAAGAATATGTAAATAAAACAGCTCTGTAATCGCAAGGTTCGAAATTTTGTTATGGCTTTCCGGGGGCCTGTTTCTCGAAAGCACCGGAAACTTTTCGGGTCCGTTAAGCCATAGCAAAATCTCGAACCTTACGATTACCGAGCTGTTTTATTCACATATTCTTAATATGAAGAGAGGTTTCCTTTATACAAGAAGTTTCAGACGTATACACTTCACCGTCTTTAGATACAGATGAACTAAAATGGCTTTACGGGCCAGAAAAGTTTCCGGGTCTTTCGAGAAACGGGCCCCGGCTCATTTTGCACGAAGTGATTGATAAACTGTTTGGTTTTTAACTTGGTTTCTGTCGATGAAAACAAGCTTGCTTGACTAAGAACAGATTTCTGTTACTGGGCATTCGTTGGCTAAGACGGTTTTCAAGAAAGGCGATGAAAATTAAACTAAAATAAACCGCAAATTGACTAATGTTTATTTAAGTATTCGTGTTTTCTGTGTAAGCAGCACCTTGACTGAACTCACATCAAAAACTACGCGACGTATTCAAATCTTAAAACGTTTTCAAGTGTTGAAGGAAATTGTCGAATCTTAGGTTTGCCGCATGTCATTCATTTTTTGTTCATATACACCACTGAATTCTCTCAAGAAATACCGTAAGAAACTTAAGGCAACGTGTATTGAGAATTAATATGTTGAACTTAGGATTTAAAGGCTGGTGTTTGTGTTGTTATAGGAGTCCCTGGAGGACGTGAAGAAGAGAAAGGACAAGCTGGAAGTAGAACTTCTCGAAGCGAGAGCTCTGAGTGTGTCTGCGACGAGAAATGTCGAGAGACTAGAGAGATACGAAGGCGAAGGAGCTTCCGAAGACGAGGAAGAAGGTAAATTAAGATCGGGTTGGCTTGGAATTGTTCGGAGGAGAAAGGTAAATTAAGATCGGGTTGGCTTGGAATTGTTCGGAGGAGAGAGGTAAATTAAGATCGGGTTGGCTCGCAGTTGTTCAGAGGAGAAAGGTAAATTAAGATCGGGTTGGCTCGCAATTGTTCGGAGGAGAAAGGTAAATTACGATCGGGTTGGCTCGGAATTGCTCGGACAGTTGGGCTGTTAACCTGCGGGGAGCAGGGATTGCGCGTGATTAGAGCGTTCGCCTCCCACCAATTCCATTACGGCCCCGTGCCATATGTGGGTTGAGTTTGTTGTTGGTTCTCGCCTTGCTCCGAGGGTTTTTCTCTGGTTTTCCTCCCTCCACAAAAACCAACATCTCCAAATTCCAATTTGAGCAGGATAGAGGACCTGGATGAAAACCAGCTAAGGCTGATGTGGCTTCCTCTCTAAATATTGTTATTTATTTCATTTATTTTACCGTGACTGTAATATTTTCACTCTCGAGGCAAGAGACTGAGCCCACGGTTTCGGTGCTCAGGGGCGTTGATAAGCAACATAAAGTCTCTCAACTGGTATTTTCTGTTTTAAAAACACACAATTCTGATGCGTTTCCCTCTGTCTTTTACACTAAAAGTAAACGTTTTAAAGCAGACTGGCCGGTCTGTCATGAATAGTGTGTCTGATGGGATAATATTACTTCGAAAAGCTCACATTGATACTTCCAATTTCCCATAATTCATTTTGTTTGCCCCCCAAATTTTGCGTAAACTATTGTTGTGAAATGCTCTTGGGAGGTCTGCATATTCCCAAGAGTATTTCACAACAATAATTTATGCAAAATTTGGGGGCAAACAGAGTGAATTATGGGGAAATGAAAAATAGAGAATTTGTTCTACCCGGACTAAAAGGAATAAGTCTAAATGATTTTGTTGATCCCTTGCTTTCTAAGTCTGTAACAATTACTGGAATTCTCGGAGTAGTATTTATCAATAGTCAGTTTTACAATGAGGGATGCTTTTAATGTTCTGTTGCTGCAGAGTCGTTTTATCGCGAGAGATACATTCAGGCGTCTAAAGAACATGAACAGCTCAGGAAGAAATTGCAAAGTCAGGCCGAGCAAGAGATAGAACAGCTCACCAGTCAGAAACGACTGCTGGAAAGAAAGGTAAATACGACAATTATCACACGACTTGCACACGTGATGTTATAGAAAATTGGCCCTTGCTTCACTGAAGCAGGGCTTCAGTTGACGGATATTTTATGACCGGCACGAACTGGTTCTGACAGAGCCAGGTAAATTAAGGTCAATAATGACAATGTGATAACTCACGTATTGATTGGGCAGGGGGATCGTTGTTAAATATTTTCCAGTTTGGCCCTCTGGTTTAGGCCGCGCATCTGAAGTCTGCGATGCCATTGAGTGATTACTGTAAGCACTGTTCCTCAGAGGTGTTTAAATAATGTTCATCTACGATTGTGTTTGATTTAGTTGACAGAAGAGAAAACCGAAAACGAAGAAATGCAGCGACAGGCCCTGAACATGAAGAAGAAGACATCTCGGGTTCAATCAGAAATGGAAGATTTAAAACTACTGCTGGAGGAAGAACAAAGTAGAAATGCCGAACTGGAGAAGAAACAGAGAAGGTAGAAAGATTTTAACGTATCGTGTCACTTTACAAAGTAAAAATTCTAAGATAAGTTTATCGACGAAAGATATCGCGTGTACAAGGGTTTTGGCCTTCTCTTTGTCACGCAACGCTACGCTCTTGGGAGAGGGACAGAACTGGACTATAGGGGAAATTGCGTCCGTCGGAGTCCCGTCTTGCAGAATAAGAAAGCCGGCTGTTTTAAACATGCGCTGCTTACCAACACGACGTGTAATAGTTATGACGACAATTTGACGCGACCATTTTCGCAGAGATGGTGCTCCTTTCTGATTGGATAATTAGGATCAGAAGTTCTTCGGGTTTTCCGAAGATTTTTAAGGGAAACGGCACTTTTTTGAATCGTGGAAATTGGATAAGCCAAAGAGACGACAAATTAAAACAACGCGAAATAGTTAATTACATGAAGATGTGCTGTGAAAAGAACAGTGCGTTGGTCGTTCGCTATCAGTTTACCAATTGTTTTGTTGCATTTTCAGGTTTGACTCGGAGATTCAACGCGCCAAAGATGAACTGAGCCACGAGCGAACTTTGAAAGATAAAATCAACAGGGAAAAAGAGAAAGCCCTGACAGAAAAATACCAACTGGAACATGATTTGGCGGTAAGTTTTGGCAAGGTGGCAACGCGTTCCCCTTTACAGAGGAAAAGAAGACCTTTCCGTTTTAGGGACTGCAATTGTTTCACAATTTAATTCGAAGCGGCGTGGCCTAGTGGTTTTAGGGGCTGGATTTGTAATCCGGAGGTCCCAGTTTCAAATCCTCCCTTTTGTCATTGGACGGATTTGTGTTTGATGGTCCCAAATTCAGCTCCTCCACCCTTTTCAAATAACCAGCTTGTCAACCTCCCAAAAGTTGGAATTTTTAACAAGTTTCTGTTCAATTTCAGGTAATATTTGTTTGATTATTTCAGTGTCTCCAATTAGCGCAGCAGTGCTAAACACTTGGTGAAGTGATTTATTTGCAAAGATTCTTCACGAGAACAGCGAAATAAAAAAGAGAGGGATATAAAATGAACTAGACTTCCTGTTCACCGTTGCTAACGACTTAAATGAACGAAGAAGGTTTTATTACTTTGTCAGCGGAAGTTTAAGTTACTGGCAAAGCAGAGGTACACAGCAGTTTCCTACAAAACAGTTACTATTAAATCTTTTTCTAGTGATTGATATCGTTATAACCTGTTATGTAATTGTTTATGTTTAGGAAACGCAAGAAGAATTGGAGAAGACGAAAAAAGAACTGGAAAAGATTGAGGGCGATATAAACGATATCACCAAACAAGGGCTACAAGGAGGAGATGTGAGTGAAATATAATACTTGCTTACTCGTGGTACTATTTCCTAATTTGACTTGGTTCACTGTTGGCCGGAGATATCAGATTTATTTACCCGTGTTCAACCAGGTTTGCAACCTGTGTACATCCGCCCCCCGCCCTCAAAAAAAAAAAAATTCCCTCCCCGATTTTTTTGAGGGCAGGGGGCGGATGTATACAGGCTACCAGGGTTGGTGAAATACGAGTCTTCTTAGCAGTGGTCCTGTTTATTAACTTGACTAGCGTTAGTGAAATGTGAGACTTGTTTACTGCTGGTAGCATTTGAAGTAAAAGAAAGGGCGGAATTAATTTATGCAATAGATTTTACTGTTCTGCTCTTGATTAATCACTGGTAACAGTATTTCTGATAAATTTACTAATGCCAAAACTTCTAGGAGAAAAAAAATGGCAATAAATAAAATCACTTCTATCCTCCCCTAAGAATGTCTAAACTCTTTTACTTCGTCCGTCTTCGGTTTTGTCCGGCCTCATTCGCTTCGGAAAGCCGTAGGGCCTTACAGTCTTCTTGTTCGGTTGTTTCCAGGTTGTTGCATTGAAGAAAACCATCAGAGAACTGGAACAGAAAGTTCAGGATCAAGAAGAAGAACTTGACGATCAAGCAGGACAGATCCAAATGCTTGATCAGGTATTATGATTACAACATACAAATGATACACCGTCATTTAGCGTAAATCTACTAGCGTTCTATCACGACTGCCGTCCTCTTTTTGGCGACGCTACTCACTATCTGTTCTGTTGTTGATAGATAGTAGCCTAGCGGTGTGGGGTTGTTAACAAAACGGAAGCCGCTTCTTGCGTTTTCCAAGTGTCTGTGAGAGGATTTCGACTAAGTTTTGAACGACTTGTAGATTTGTGTAGGTAATCAAATGATTTCGAGTGAAATTTGGAATGAATAAGGACAGGTAAATTCGTCAAAGACTAAAAACATTGCACGAGCTCGTAGGGCGGGTGCATTTTGTAGTCTATGAGTTATTTGTTTTGTGTGGGTGTACATTCATAGAAAAATGGAGCTACCAGTGGTGCTATGGCGCGAAACCGCTGCAATCGCCAAAGGACACGGCAGATTTTGGTGGGAAACTGACACCGTCGCGTTAGACTTGGAAAATGGAGATTAGAATAATGTGATAGAAAGAGAAACCACTTCGTAACTCACCAGCGATTAAAAACCCCAGAGAATACAAACTGCAGTTAGTAACATTTATACTCTTAAAACAATCTACCAAATTACAGATTAAAAGGATTACTGTCGTTTAAATTCGGCCAGTTAAGGTGAATAGCGCTAATATGCCGAAGAGAATCAGAGCAGAATAATTATTATTACGTAACTATTATGTCCGAGCAGAATCTCAAGCAGAGGCCAGTATAATATGCAATGTAGTTAATTTTTGCGAGCTTTGCTCGTGAAGAAATAGGCCATGTGGCTAAAGCTTAGGTTGCGTTCCAATCGGACTACGGCTGAAGACATCATGGCTTTATTTTTTTTTTGTCCAGGCCAAGCTTCGTTTAGAGATGGCCGCCGAACATGACAAACATATGGTGCACAAGGATTTGGAGGCAAAAGACGAGGAAATGGAACAGCTCAGATATAACATGCAGAAAAAGGTTAATCCTTCAATTTTTTTAACGGGGTTTGTTTTGTACCTTTCTTTTCTTTCTTTCTTAATTGCTGAAGTAGACTCAACTGTTAACGTAGTGAGCATTATTGCAACCGTATACTGACAGGTCTTTCTTTGAAATTGCAGATCAAGCAACTCGAGGCACAGTTAGAAGACGAATACCAGGAGAAAACCGCAGCTGTTAAGGTAGGCACGGACTGTTACTGTTGAGAAAATGATTTTCCATTTGATTGCATCCATTTACCATCTTTGTCGAGCTCCGTAGTGGCTTACGTAAGGTGCTGCGTCATGGATGGCCTATCATGCAACATTTTCAATTTCTTGTTTCCGTAATTCGTCTCAATCCTTTCTCAAACTTATCCATCCTGATTCCATTTTGACTTAATGTTATTTCTTTGTTGTTTTTCTAACTAAGTGTACTGTAATTTTGGAATTTCCTTTTCGCTTGAAGATAAAGACTCGATTCCTTTGTGTATTGTTATTTTTCTCTCAGTCCAAACGGGAAGTCGACAGACGACTCGAGGAACTCCGCGATCATTACGAACGAGGCGACGCCGAGACCGAGAGGAAACTGAGACGAGAACTGAAGAAGACCAAAGCTCTTCTGAGAGATGCTCAGGCGGTTATTGAAACTCAGGTCAGTGGTCATCCGCACTCTACCCCCCTTAATCTTAGTCATCTCCCGTGGTGTCTTCTTGAAAGCTAGAGGTTTCCTTAACTTGATGGCTTAGTCTTCGTTGCTTAACTTGTCTAGTAGTGTCAGAGCTAAGCTAATTTTCTTTTTTGTTCTCAGTCCCAAAAGCTTCCAAAAGAAAGAAACCAGATGAAGGCTTTGAAAAACCAGGTAAGCTAATTATGGATTCAGGTTTCATAATAGGGAGTTTAAGAAAACCACGACGGCAACGGCAACGCGACTGTCGTTAAACAAAAGGTTTAATGAGCAGAGCAATAGCTGTGCACGTGCGTTATAATTCTTGGTACATTTCTTTGCCGTCCTCTGCAAAACAACAACGTGAAATGA